TAGGAATGCAACTTGCCATATTCAGGGGTGTACTTGGTAGCCGTGTTGGTCTGAGACAAAAAGACATACAAAAAACTAGAACTCTTGGTTCCAAAATGATACCTTTTATTAGACCAACTGGAAAATGGCAAGAAAATTGTCTTTTTCTGCAAGCTTTTGGGATCAAAGTCCCTTCGTCAGGCTCTGGGAAAAGTGTAGATGGTACAAGATGGTAAAAAGTCCCCATAGGTAGGAAATAAATTTCATTTTTGCACAGAGGGAGCTGAAGATGGAAGGCTGTCCCTCTGGGTCCATGAGAGTGTCTTTGTGAACTGTGTTGAGCTCTTTGATGTGTTGATCAGGTAGAATTCCTTCCCTGGAGGTGTCAGATAGCAGGCAGGGAAGTAAAAAAAACCTTCCTTGTTGTTCTGCAGTGAAGTTTAAAATCCAAAGTTGGCTAAAATTCGGCATCTTCCATGTGTCAGGGGTGTACTTGGTAGCCGTGTTGGTCTGAGACAAAAAGACATACAAAAAACTAGATCTCTTGGTTCCAAAATAATACCTTTTATTAGACCAACTTGCCATATTCAGTTTCTTTTAGTTTGCTGACTAGGCCCATTGTAATATCAGCAAAGGTTCACTCTGGAGCAGGATTTGTGGCCTGCTTTAGCCACACTTCTGTAACTTAGCAGAAGTCCTTTGAAAGTGGCCAAGGTTGACAACAGGTTAACAAAGACATAGTACTATTGCAATAGGATTCTAGCTGACTATGTACAACTCAATTAGTATCAAAAGGCAAAACATCAGTTGTTACTTTTAGCTGCCCTTACACACTTTTTTGAAAAGCAGTTATTCATTCTTGACCTAGTCTAATATTAGTGGCTTGATAAACAAATTCTTACTCTGCTTTCCCAGGCTACAGCTTATGAGTTAAATGCAAGCTTATAAATTGTTGATTGTATACCAGCTTAAGCATATATCATACATGACTCAGGCTTTTGCTAGGTTCATTGTCTGCACCTCTCAATGTGCTCTGTCAGTCACTGACCATGTCCACAGTCTACAGTGACCCTGTCCTGAATGCTGTGCCCCTCACTTGTGCATTGGAGTGGCAGACAGCTGGTTTCTAGCTGGAAGTGCAACTCCCTGGCCAGACAGTTACAGCAAGGCTCTGATACTGGCAAGATCAAAGATACTGTCTAGCAGTCAGCAACCAGGGGATCTAACGGGCAGAGGCAAAGGTATCTAATGGCAGCAGAGGCAAAGGAGGAGGGCAACAGGTGGGCTAAGAACTCGTGATCAGAGCCTGTGTCTTGCCTTGTTCCAGATCAACTATGGCGGTGATATCCCCAAGACATACTATGTGCGGAACCAGGTGACACAGAAGTACGAGCACTCAGTGGTGGTGAACCGGGGCTCCTCCCACCAGGTGGAGTACGAGATCCTCTTCCCAGGCTGTGTCCTCAGGTAGGGAGAGCTGGCTTGGAGCAGCCAGACCTCATGGAACTGAGCTACCAGCAATGCTGGGGCTCAGAAAAGAAATGTATGGGACCTTCTCCAGGGGAGCTGTTAAGAGTGACAGTGTGAGGGCAACTGAGAGTGTAGCAGAGGTAGAGGTGGGTTGAGGCCTGAGCCTGACCAAACACATGTGCATGTACAAGGTCCAGGGTTAACCAGGTGCAGATCAGACCAACTGCTTAGGAGTGATGTTGAGGTCAGGATGAGCCCCACTGATTGCGGGGGGATGTTGTGGGGGAGTGATTATGGGTGGGTTAGACCCCTGTGCAACTGGGTAGGGGATACCCAGGTCTGGATCATCTCAACTGGTTGCAGGGTGATATTGAGATGCAGGGACAGGGACCCTAGGGCCACTACAGAAGCCCTGTGCAACTGAAGCCCATGTACCTCCCTGCAGGTGGCAGTTCATGTCAGATGGGTCCGACGTGGGCTTTGGGGTCTATCTGAAGACTAAAATTGGGGAACGGCAGCGTGCTGGTGACATGACAGAAGTGCACCCCACCCAGCGCTACAATGCACACATGGTGCCTGAGGATGGCTCCCTCACCTGCTCCACACCTGGTATCTGTAAGTGGCTCTCTTACCCTGTCCCACTTCTCAGCAGCAGCAGCATCCTTCCTGAATCTGCCAGAACAAGGTGTCTGGGGCTCAGAGTGCCTTGCCTGTCCCCTCCCAGGGTACACTGGAAAGAAACAGAGAAAAGAATGTGTTACTTTTACATCAGGGCACTGAGCTTCCCTCCTACTGTGAGTACCTTGGACAGCTGGAAGTATCACCCTGCATGCTGGGCTCTGCCCTGACATACCCAGGTCCCATTCTGAGCCTGGCTGAACAGGTGCTGTGCTCACAATATGGTGTTAGCACCACTTGACACAGGCTCAGGAAGGAATGGCTGGCTTTGCAAGGATGAAGCTGGATGTCTAAATCTGACTAACCCTAAAGACCAGATCCAATTGTATATGACAGGGGCGCTCAACCAGGGGTATGCGTACTCGTGGGGGTACTTGGGAAGGCCCTAGGGGGTACATGGCATGGTGCGGAGAAGTGGGGACACTTCTGGTTTTGCCGGTGGCATTTCTGGTTTTGCCGGTGGCACTTCTGGTTTTGCTGCTGGTGTTTCTGGTTTCACTGCTGCGCATGGAGGACGCCCCCCACTTCGTTGATCAGCCTCCAGGGAACTGCCTGCCCCTGCTCATCCACCGTCCGGGGGACTCCCTGCTCCCTGCTTCTCAACCTGCCGCCAGGGTCACACCAACCAAAATAGGTTGAAAACCCCTGCTGTACAAGATAGCAAACACTGCACTCCAGAACCTGCCAGATCTTTGTATCTGCCATGGAACAAACTTAGCCAGTCAAACCCGAAACCCCATCCTTGTATCTTGCCGCTCTGCAGGATTTCTAGCAGCAGCTTTGTGGAACCCATTCTCCAACGCAGGGCAATTTCAGACTTCTGGAACGTTTATGTAATCTCTGTAAATGGCCAGGTGCAAAACACCACTATGGAACTATTTAATTACAATTTGTAGGTTATTCAGGCCACTTCAGTCTGCTTGACTGTCCTCCCTGAGATACCCCCCAAGCCATCAGGGGCCAGAATAATCATACACAACATGGATTTGGTTCCATCTAGCCAGGATCAGTGGAGTGCTGACATGAGCAGATGCAGCCTGGCTTCTCCCCACGTGGGGGCAGTGCTGGGCAGACTCAGCAGCTCCCTTGGAACGCAGGATTTTGCCTTCACCCTGCATGGTTACTAACTCCTCTGTCTCCCTCTCTGCAGATGTGCTGCGGTTTGACAACACCTATAGCTACCTCCATGCCAAGAAGGTCAGCTACACAGTGGAGGTCTTGCTTCCAGACAAGAAATCAGAAGAACAGATCGAGCAGCTGGGAGAGAAGATAAATGAGGTGGCCCTCAACAATGCCTAGTTATGACTGCCTGTAAAGACCTGCTTCCCTCTCTCTGATTCCCAGCCCTGCTCCCAGTCCTCTCCCTATCAGAAAACCATTGCTTTCCCCCAGACCCATCCTGCCAGTTTCTATTAAGAACTAGGATGGGAGCCATTCTCTAGAGAACTTTTGCCAGGGGCCATTAGAACATGCAGCAGCTTCTCTGGAGTGCTCCTTTGCCCTGCGTGAGTGGGGTAGGTCCTGGCTTGTTTAGGTACAGGGGGTTGTTTGCAGAGAATGGGGAATGGGCTTTGCAGGGATGCGGGCTCCCCATCTGCCTTGGAGCTGCATAGAATGAGCCTACTGGAGCCTGTACCAGTGTGAGGGCAGCCTCTTCACAGCCAGTATTTCTGATCTTGCTCTCTGTCCCCAGACTAGTGCCAGGTCAGGTTGCCAATCCACTGAGTGACTGTCAGGTTACCTGGTCCCTTAGAGGAAGCCTGATCTTCAAGCGCCTGGGCTAGGTAGGTGTGCTGAAGTCATGGAAGGCATTCAGGAAGGAAGCCATTTGTTTTAAGTTTAAGTTTTCCCCACACCACCATCTGGTAGGAGGATCCTACTTTATGCACTTGGCTGAGCTGAAAATAGGGGCATGAGCAGGCAGGAGCATGTCAGAGGCATCTCTCCTACAGTAGTATGAAGTGTAACAGGTGAGAGATGACTGCAGCAGCAAGTCTCTGTGGGTACCTGTGTGCTGCAATCTGGAGGGGTGCGTGCAGCATGTACTGACATACCCAATCTGGCTTTAGTCTAGGTAGCTCAGATACTGGTAGCAGTGAAGCTCCAGCACCCTGTAGGCTGTACAAGCCCAAGTGAGACTTACTCAGGTAGTTGGCTAACACTAAAGTCTACGGCATCGTATCATCACTGATGTTAGTACCTGAGATAACTAGAGTAAAGCTAGCCAAGGTGGGCTGCACTCACACCTCTGTGCATGGTGAAAACACCCACGGGGTGGCAGTCCTGCTGGTCCATTGCAACACAGATGTCTGCTAGAGGGCAGAAGGCCTCTCCTCTCATCTCACTCCAGCTTGTCTGAGTAATTCACTGCCATGCTCATTAACATTTGTATTTAACATTTCCTAAGAACATGAGAGCATCCCAGAGGCCAGCACTACATACCCTCTCTCTTTATGGCTCAGTCTGTCCCAAGATAAGACTTGTGAGGGACTGGATAAAGTCCAGTCAGCTGGAAGGGAGTTGGGCAACCTAAAAAGAGGGGTGGTCAAGAAAAGCACAACAGAGTGGGAGTGCAGGAGCACAGAGCCCAAACATAGAGGGAGACAATTTGTGGAATAATGGCTTATTTGGCCTGTGTCCCCCTTTGCATCAGAACAGCTACACATGAGAATTTACTTTACACCCCCTGTTCCATGCACTTACGAGGGCCGGCCATAAGCACACAGGCCCCTGAGCTTCTAGGGGGCCTGGACACTCAGAGGATAACCTGATCTCTTGCCATGTACCTCCATCCCCAGTAAGCAGCCTACCTTCTGCTTGGGACCCTACAAATTATAAGCCAGAATCCTTTTTCCCACGTGACACCCCAACTCTACTGGCTCCCTGAGGAAAAGACAGGGGCTCCCTATGCTAGAGCAGTTATGTGCAATATGACTGTATGCTGGTTGGGAACACAGCCCATCCGGCTGACTTGCACACCCCCCTCACCTGCCTGACTGGAGCTCCAGCTGTAGGAGAGAAGAACCTGGAGACCAGATAGAGACAAACCTATGCGGGGGCATTAAGAGTCAACTGGGAAGCAGATGATGCGCTGTCTTAGCTGAGCAAATGGAACAGGTGGAAATGTCCAAGGCAAGAGCCTGCTGCTCACCACTACCAGCAAGCTAACTGTAGCAGGGAACCAAGATGGGTCATCTGCCAAAAGCAGCTGGATGACTTGCATGCAGTTTGCACAGTATGCAAACCTGGGATCCCCATGAGACACAGGAAAATGGCCAGTTCAAACCAAATGCAGAACAGATCGTGGAGAGACGAAAGGAAGGGATTATTGCCTTGCCCAGTTATGGCTTTTCTAGGATGCCTCTTGATGATCCAAGCAGCGTGAACGTGGGAAAGCACTGACTGTAATGGGGGAGCAGGGGGATTTCATGAAGGACAAATTCAGCCCATGCTGAGATCAAGTCCTGAAGCAGCAGCACTATTGCAGCTCTCTGGAAATGATGCGGCACTTCTTGTTCTTTGGTTTCAATGTCACAGATAATCAGAGGAAAATAGTGATCACATGCACTGGCCCACACTGCGGGGCTACACGGCCTAGACTGTATCACCTGGTCTGTGCCTGGCCTTGACCATCCTTGGGGGCCATATGAGGGATACAGCCTGGTGCGTCAGTCCGTCCGCGTGAGTAGGAATTGTGTCTGCTACTTGTGGGCAGGGAGTCAACGGATGAAACCCGCGCCTGCCTTGTCACTGTGGGGTGCTGCCCCCCCATCCCCTGCTCCACTGTGTGGGGGTAGCAGCTTCGTGGCTGGGCCAAGCCACCCACGCTGGGACCAGGGCCCACAGGGGTGGCTGCCACTGCTGAGGCTTTGGCACAGGTGCAGGGGTCCCTGCAGCAGCTGGAACATGGGTGGGCACTGCAGAGTGGTCCCCCCATGTGGAGGTGCCTGGCATGCCTTCCCCTCCCCCCCTACCTGCCATAACACTTAGGGCTGGGACAAGCCACAGACACCTTTACTCGGGATGGAAGCAGCACGGTGCAGGGCTGGGCAGCACAGCAGGCTAAGCCCTTTGGGCTGGGATGGGCCTGGGGTAGCGGAGAGTTGTGGTCCTGCCTCACTGCCCTGGAGCCACTACCCGGTGCCCCAGCAGGAAGCAGCATGGTGTTGTGCAGCTGTGCATGTGCCCAGCAGTGCAGTCCACCCTCCCCTGCCCTGCCAGGGCACAGGGGAGTGGAGGTCTCTGGCGGGAAACAAGGGAGTGGAGACAGCACCAGAGGGGCCCGTGGACTGCTCAGGCCAATCTTGGAGCAGAGACCCCGGCCTTCTGGGATGGTGGCAAGAGGCGGGGGATTGGTGTGGTGTAGAGCATGGTGCTCAGCTTCTGCCCCGCAGAGCTGTGAGGCCAGTAGGGCTTGGCCTCCGGCCCACGGAGCTGTGAGGCCCGGCCTGCAGCTCCCATGGCTGCCCAGTCAGTGCTGCTGCCATGCCCTGCTGCCCAGTGCCCAGCCCCGGGGGCACCGGTACAGGCGCCGGGCAGTGCAGCCCCACAAGCCAGGACTGCTGGTGCCCGGGCTGAGCTGCAGCCCTGGTAGGACCTGGGCTGTAGCTCAAGCCCACAGGTGGCCGGTGGCCTCAGCGTTGCCAGGTCTTAAATATGAAATTATTGTATTGGAAGCTCAAAATTATCATATTTGCTGAAAAAAAACCTATTGTATACTGAAAGAATATGCAAATAAGTATGCAAATTTTTATTTATATTGCTGGCTGTGATTGCCAGTGAGTGAGAAGTGGGTCATCAAAGTTTAAGCATTTCTTTATTTTGAGGCAAGTGCTTATAAGAAAGTGCCAACAGCAAACCCAAAAGTCGGCTAAGACTCTCTGAGAGTGACGTGGATTTTGCATCGGCTGCATCAGTTAGCTGCTTCAAAAATTATGGTACATTTTGCAGGGGTGTAGGTTGTAGCCGTGTTCGTCTAAGGACACAGGCAGACAAGGTTCTTTGGGTGAATGATATCTTTTATTAGGCCAACCCAAATAGTTGGAGAATAGTTATTAAGCAAGCTTTCGAGTTCAAAAACCCTTCATCAGGCTAAGGAAGTTTCTGCAGTTGCTGTGTGCTCTTCCTGGATGGAATGAAAAGTAAAGAAGCCAGGGGCTGGGCTGGGGAGTCAGTTGTCAGGCAGATTATACATTTTGAACACTTGTATGATGTACAATCAATAATAGTACAACAGTTGAAACTGTTGTACAACTATGACAATTAATGTAGACCTGGCAACGCTGGGCAGGTCAGGCCTGTGCTAGTCGCCCAGCCCACAGGACAGGAGGCCAGCACCACTCCTCTGCAGGGGTCTGGTGGGTTTGCCAGGGGCTACAGTGTCTCCAGGACAAGGGTCATGATTGTTGCAGAGGTTGGCAACTTTATAGCAAATCAGCTACACCACCCACAGCTTAGTCTGAAAGCTGGCTGTGCCCTTACCACCCCACGCTGCTGCAGTGCTGCCCACTTCCCCAGGCTACATTAGTCAGGCAGCAAGATCAGAAATCAGGAAATGCCAGAATTGTAGTTGCCTATAAATCTTCATTCAGCTCACCTGTGCCTGTATGTGACCGTCTTTAACCACATGCTCATGGGCTAGAAAATGTATTGTCTCCCAAGGTCACTCTCAAAAATAGCTGGATGGTTTGGGCTGCAACTGGAAAAAAATAAAAGGCCTTGCCAGAAACTTGGCATGGGAAATTTCAGCCCAAACAGTTCCAAGTGCTGAAAATATGGCCTCCTAGTGGGAAGTAGCAGGTGCCATTGACACCAGGAGGTGCTAGTGCTGTGCGTGGGGTTGGCTGCCTTTAAAAACCAGCCGGTAGATTGCGGATCTACTCTGCTCTTGCAACAGCACCGCCGAATGGGAGACCCGAGGTCACAGGGACAGCAACTGGGAAGAAGAAAACCTGTAAACTCTCAATAAAGCCATGTCTGGAACCATTTCTTCAGGTGTCATCGTGTAACTCCTGTAGCCGCCTGCCTTGGGACTCCCGGCCAAAAGGACGCGTGGTGGCAGGCCTGGCGCTGCGGGCATGAGCCCAGCATGATGCCGGCTGGCATCTCCCCTGCAGGGCTGAGCTGAGCTGAGGCACCCGCGTGGCTCTCCGGGCTGCGATGGGCCGGAGCCGCTGGTGAAGGCAGGATTGGCCCAGCCCGGCCGGCTGCCCCTGGGCAGTGCCCAGATGGGAGACATCAGGGGGCTGCGGCACCCCTCTCTCGTGTCCAGTGACCAGTTCCCACCTCGGCAACAGCACCCCTGCTGCTTGCAGGCCG